ACAGTAAATTATATTATGCTTTATGTTGTAAATTTTGTTAACCTGAAAGTTATAACACTGAAGAATTTTTATATTGCTACAAATGTAATTGTGATAGCAAATGTGGCTTTTTATTTAGATTGGTGTCATTCAATTCATAACTTAAAAAATCTTTTTAAAGAAGCCAGTGTGGTGCTTCTGACAGATTCTCAACTGATTGCACTGAAGAAGGAGGTTCTTTGTGGAATAGTTATTTATCAAATAGCTGTAACACTGAAACTGTAATGGTCTTGAGCAAGGAGTCTAACTGAAAGAGGCTAATTTAATCTTGGCTCTGCATTTCCTGAAGTTTAATTTGAGCTTGTCAAGTAGCTGAGCTTGCCAGTTAGCTTGCTAAATATTGCAAAACTCAGTTCTCCATTCTTTTACCTTTTGTTTTTTTTTTTTTTTTTCCCATTCTTCTCTTTCAAAAATGTTCTCTGTTTTGGCTATATCCTACAGTATGAAAGTGTATAATGTAGATGATCTGTTCTTTTCTTTTTTCCCAATTATATTCTCTTAACATCAACAGAAACTATATGTACCAGAGCTGGAACATGGTGAGAGGCATTGTTTTTGGAGGAAAACCCCACTGTCTGTTGTTTAGTTCTTCTAGAGTCAAATATAATATGAACATTAAAGACCATGAAAAAATTATTTTCATCATTTGTTCTTGATTGAAGTATTCTGTCCTTACATTCATCTTTGGATACCACAAGCTGTTTGTCATCTTTGAGGTTCTAATACTCAATACTGCAATATTATCTGAAAAAAGAATTCCACCTTTTAACTTTTAAGAAGATATAGCTAGCACAGAATGCAGCTGTCTGGTAATTAAAGGCTGTTTCATGCAGAGATTACATTAACTGAATGTGCAATGGTTACCCATTGGCTTGCAAGAGAAATCAATTGGCAGCCAGTGCTTGTCAAAAAGCTTAAACTAGCTGCCATCTGGCAGAAATGAGAGGGAGCTGGTGAAAGCTCTTCACAATGAGCAATCTTTAAGCAGATCTTGACATCAGAAATTTAGTTCCCAGCTTGGTTCTGTATAGCCTGTAACTGAAGATACGCAAGGTATAATTATAATATGGAATAATTATTCAGAATGGAATACAGTCATATCTTTGGTTGAGTGTTTGTCATCTATGACCTAGAAAATTTGTCTGCTTAATTACTTATATAGTATTTTGAGTAAAAGACTGCTGGTTTTATAAGCTTGGCAATAGATGGCAAAAAAATACAGACCGGTACATGAAAATTCCTAGTTACAATTATAACTCGCTGTTAATCAATTGAATGTCTTTAAAAAATGAGACTGGCCTCAGCATCTCAGTGCCAGAGCTCCACAGCCCTGTCTCTGTTAAAGGCTCTCAGAGTCCTTAGGAAAATGTTTCCATTGGGAGTGGGAGCACTCACAGACCTTTGAGTTTGCTGCAATTTTAATTTGTTCCCTAGTCTTCTCTTCCAATCTGAGAGGAAAGCTGCTGTATTTTACCTTGGTATCTGGTTTCTATGGTTACTCAGATAGAAAGCAGATATTCAGTAGCTATTCAGTGGCTGGTTAAAGTTGACTGACAACTAACTGGTGGCATTTACTCAGTTTTATAAAAAGTAAAACTCAATGACCATTTTTTAATGTGAGGATTTTTTTTTTTACTTGAGAGTAGTTGCTACTTTTTTTGGTGCAAAGAATTGTTCAGGAGTCTATAAATAAATCTAAATCTGTAAGCATTTAATGCATTTTCTAATTAAGACTACCACTGAATTTTCTAATGAAAACATAAATTGCAACCATGATCTGTCAACCACACAGTGAGGTTCACTGTGTAGCACTTTCCTGAATTCATAGATCTTTTCAAAATTTGGCATATAATTTTGCAGGTAATCTCATTCCAATGAAAGGAATAAAATTGTATACATTTCCTGTATGTAACAGATTCAGCCCTATTCCTTCATATAGACAGGGTCTGCAGTAAGATGAAGAGGGCAGATGCATTTCATGTGAGCAGGTCCTTTGGGAAGCTTAAGAAACAGGTGACAAAGATAAAGAGATTAGTAATATTTTTTTTTGAGGTGGTTGTGTGAGAGGTGTAATTTAGATTTTGTTTGCAGAAGAGAAAGATGGAACAGAAAATTCCAGTCTGTACAACATGCCTTTTTAGAATTGTCGTTGAACACATCTGGGTTAGTGTTTTGTTTTGTTTTGTTTTGTTTTGTTTTGTTTTGTTTTGTTTTGTTTTGTTTTGTTTTGTGTGTGTTTATTACATCATTTTCTGTTTAATATGAAACTAAAACCTACAATATTGGAACTCATGGTGTGTCAGGGACTAATATAGTCTGATGGTACCAGGTTTACCACAGCTGATTGCATTTCCTGAATCAATTATTCCAAATCCAGCTTCTGACAATAATCAGTATTTTGTACTGCAGAAGGCCAGTGAATTTGTCAGCAATGCATTTGCTTAGTTATGCCATGCTATAGATGTATGGAATCTTTAGGTGATAAGTATAAAGTAAAACAATCAGTTTAAGTACTGATTATCACATTTATGTCAAAATTATGTCAAATTTATCTCACCTAATAACAGCTTGTTTTTTGTGTTTGATTTTCAGATTTCTGCTAAAATGCCTTTACTAAGCTTGGGGTTTTTTTGTTAGCTGTATTAACTTTCAAGTGTTTTAATACCAATCATACCAAATCTTACCTTTCAGTGAATAATGAGTAAGAAAGAATTTATAATTCCTAAAATCTGTCTGACAAATCCTTTAATCATTCAGAAATGTTGAGTACTGAGTAGGTGGCAGAAAGCAGGAGACTGGAGAATGACATGAAGGTTTGGTACGCTCTCTGATTGCTTTCGATAGGAGGATTTGCAGATTGGTGTGATTTTGAGCAGAGATGAACTGTGGATATTTGGGATGTAACAAAATAAGTTGTGTAATCTTGAGTGTCAACTTCAACCTACTGACCAAGCCCACTATGAAGACATTTTGAACAGCCAGCAAATCTACTGCAAACTGAAGCAGATTAAAGACTTGCCATCTAGCCTCTCTATTAATTCCTATTATTTTTTTCTGTATTTGATGTGTATTTAATAGAATAAATACAAAATTTGGAGTAAATTCTTGACTGAGTTAAGGTGAGTATTATTTTGGTGTATTTTACTAAATGATGTTTAATTTCTGTCATATATTTTCTCACAGCAAAGTTTTGTGGTGACCCTGGTGTACCTGCTCAAGGGAAAAGAGAAGGCAAGAGCTTCATCTATCAGTCAGAAGTCTCTTTCATCTGCAATCCCCCTTTTATTTTGGTTGGCTCCAGCACCAGGATTTGCCAAGCAGATGGTACATGGAGTGGTTCTTCTCCTCGATGCATAGGTAAGGTTACAACCATATCATTGACATTTATGGAAATGCTGATTATTCATTTTCCTGCTAAATCTACTTGGGAGTTTTCAGGTATTTTGAATTATTCCGGTGTCATTCTATACTCTTTAAGGATCAAGTAACTTTATTTCTCTTTCTCTCATTGGTTTATTGCATGTTGTTGAACAAGCTTAATTTTGTGATACATTCATGTATTTCATTAAAATCCTTTAATTTGTTTTGTCTTTAATTTTTTTTTTTTTTTTTTTTTTTTTTTTTTTAAGAACCTACTCGCACAGCATGTGAGAATCCAGGAGTCCCAAGGCATGGGTCACAAAACAACACATTTGGCTATCAGGTAGAGTATGCTATTTTTCATTAACTTGAATACTTAAAATATTTTTATACTACTTCAAAATCTAGAAATTTCTGATTAGAAATCCAGCAACTGATCATGCTTTGTAAATACTGTTTAGTAGAGTGTTGCTGTGTTTTCTTATTTCTAGCTGTTGGATTACATTGACCTTGTGTCCCTATTAACAGTGCATTATGTGAAACCTTGGTGATCAAGCTCTGCTTGGGCTTGGTTTCACCTTGAAGGAGTTTATCATCTACACACCAATATATAAGTGCTTCCTACTGTTTATCAAGTAGCATTTTTCTCCTTAGAAGTGTGTATACTATGTGCCAAATTGCTAGCATAGACATAGACTCTAAAAGAAAACAGTGGATATTATTTATTTATTTATTTATTTTATTGAGAGCAATTCTGTTATTACATTTGGAAATTATGTGACCACAAATGAATCACAGAGTCACAGAAGCTGGCAGGTGCCTCTGGAGAGCTTCCAGTCCAACTCCTCTTCTTGAAACAGGATCAGATAGAGTAGGTGGACCAGGGCTGTGTCCGGGTGGTTTTGAATGTTTCTAGGGATAAGCACTGCACTGCCTCTCTGGGAAGTTTGTTCCAAGCTGATCACCCTTAGGCTGAAAATGTTTTGTTTTGTTTTTTAGTTTTAAAACAGAATTTCCAATGTTTCAATGTGTGCCTGTTTCTTCTTATCCAGTCACTGAGCACCACTGAAAAAGTAGAGAGTCTAACCTGTCCTGCTACATCAGTGTTTGGTATCAGGGCTGAAAGATCCAGACATGCAAAGGGGACCAGACAGAAGAGTTAGCTAGTAACTCCCTGGTTCTATGTCGTGCCTGTTTATGGCAGGAGTTAAATAAAAATTGTAGATTGCCAGAACTGCAAGAAAGGTCTGATTGAAATTTGAATAGACTTAGAGCATGAAATTAGTTTTTAAAAGCAAAAGTTGTAGCTAAAGGGTTTATTTTCATGGTCAAAAGTTTCTTTAGCTTGTAATTTTCATGGCAGTACTTCTCCTGCCTAGTGATTGTTTTAGCAATCTTTGGTGTTTCAGATTGTGCTAGATCACAATCATATGTGAGTAGTCATATAATTGTCTTAGTTTTCTCCAGGGAATGGAGTGCTCTTTCCTTCCATTATAGAATATACAGGGACAGTCCTTGGGCTAACTTCCTTCAGGTGTAATAAACTATTGTGCTATATAGTAACTCTTTATTTACCTATGTAAGAAACAGATCACTGCAATGACCACTTTCTACAATTTTATTTATCTGGCATATTAATGAGCATTCTGTCGCTGATGAAGCCAATGCACACTTTCTCATTTGTGGTGTAGCTGTAGTTGTGAGTGAAATCATCATTCACGGCCAGCATGGAACTGTCAAAATACTAGGCAAAAATATCAACTGATAAATAATTTCTTTAAAAACTGTAGCTGCTGGCATAATTTACAACCTTGATCACAGTTGCAAGGTTGGAGTCTAGCAGATTTAAACTGTCTGAGCTTCAGCCTCCTTACCTAGCCAGCAACTTACACTTGTGCTCATGTAGTGAATTTGGCTTTATATAGTAACTAAATGTCTGCATGAAATTTCTGGTTACTTTAAAAATGATTGCTTTGTTAATACAGAACAGGGTAGGAAAATCATTTGTACAGATGAAGCTGAGTTTAATTCTTTATTGAGTGGAAACAACAGTGAAAATGATGCATTCTTAGGCAAGTTATTGTCTCTAGATCCTGAAAAGTAATATTACATTACTGTATATTCAAGAACATTATGACTCATTTAAACCACAACGATATTCAAAAGGCATTTATATTATGCTATAATTAACTTGCTGTATAACTTCCTGGGATAGTAATGACTTTTGCTTCCATCCTTAGCAGAAAGGTTAAAAAATAATTCTAAATTATACCAAAATACTGAAGACAATATGACTTTGGTTTTCTTCTGTCTGATAGATCTGTTGCCTGTTGTGTTAAACAATAGACCAAAACAGCTTATGCAAAATTAAGCAAAATGTTTTGCAGTTGGCAAACACATAACAAGGAGTTGTTACTGTTGAATAGATGATGGGTTTCTCATTCTAACCCTGGGTGGATGATTTTTTTCTCATTTGGGGGTTTGTTGGAATTTTTTTGTGTGTTTTTTTTTTTTTTAATTATTATTATTTCTTAAATATTTTACATTTAAACTAGTATTAATAGAGTCATTTAAGTGACTTAATTATTAAATTTTAAATTTATGTCTCTGTCGCATAAAAAAAAAATAAATCAACCTGTAGCCTGTCAGTAGAGTTCAGGCCTTCATACGTGGAGTCCTGTTTCAAGTGCTTTTCAACAAATGACAATAGCTCTTCTTTCACTGACTGTATCACTGATTACCACTTGTTTTTCACAATGCTAATGTCAAGTAATGAACTTTCACAAGACTGTTTTTTTTTGTTGTTGTTTTTTTCCCCTACTCTTGATTATCTGTTTTCCTATCTCATTGATTGCATTAAAAGTTCAGGCATATATAACACAATTCAAGGTTTGACTGAAAGGACTATCAAAACCTGACCTCCTGGAACCTACACTAACAGCACAAATATCAGCACCTCACATCTGAATGGTGTTTCAACTGTTAGGTAGGAGCTTTTTAACAAAGAGGGAACAGAATTATGTGTGGATTTTGTTGTTCATTATTGAATTCAGCAGGCAGAAGCAGATCAAGTTCTTATGAGTTCAGATAACATCAAAGTACCAGTTCAGTGCTACTTGGATATCAGGCATGTCAGGTAAATGAGTAACATCACCTGCTTTAACTGTTATGAACAGGTATTTCTAGGATGTTTACCTTTCATCTGAGTATTTTTTATTTGACAGGTCTACCTTAGCAGTGTGTTGCAATGAAGACAAAATATCTTTAGAAGTTAGTGAATACTGACTTCATCTGTAATCTGGAAAATAAATTGTTCCTTGGAAACTAACTGTGGTTTTGAAATATTTCTTCAGATATATTGCTAGTAACATAGAAAATCGTTTATAGCATTTTCACCATAAGCTGTTGTAACACAAGATATAACTGAATTGAAAAACCAGTTTAGAACTGCTTAGACCAATCAGTCATATATCTAAGATTTATTACTTCTCATACTTTTTCCCATTTATGGTTTTTTTTTTTTTTTTTTTTTTTTTTTTTTTTTTTTTTTTTTGTGGAAATTCAGCTATTTTCCTCTACATAAAACCTGAAATGAGCCCAAAGGCAGTCTGAATTAGAAAGGAAGATAGCCACATTACAGTAATCATAGGTCTGTAATGTGGCTATTAGCTCTTGAGTTCTCTTCTATGAAATGCTGTATGAACTTTGATCTGCAGATCTGGGGCAACCTTGCAAATAATCTCCTGTGAATGTAATGCTTATAAAAATGTTAGTGTTGATTGAATTATAGGAAAAAATTCCAAGGGAAATGCTGTACCAAAACAGTATAGCTGTCTCCATTAGCACAGCTGACATCATCACTGCATTAATGAAAACATAATTTAAGCCTTATCAGACACCAGGTAATTTTCCTGGTTCCTTCTGCTTCTCAGGATCCTGAGGTCTGTGGCTTCACCCTGGTGCCAGTGTGGGATGTTAGTGTTATACTGTGGGGTGCTTCACTGGAAGGAATGTGATTTTGACTGGTTGTTTTTGTTTTGTTTGTTTGTTTGTTTTTTCCTCTGTTTCTTTGGTTTGTTTGTTTTTGGTTTTTTTCATGTTTTTCTTGATTCACCTGGGGTTATTGATAAATTTTCTAACACACAATTATACCACTCACACTGCAGCTCCACACTATATTTCAGTCTACTCTATAAGGCACATTTCACCTACATCAGATACTTCTTTTTCACCCCTGAAACCTGATTCTGTCCAGGTCTGCATTCCCTTGAGTGGCCATGGGTGATCTGTTCACAGCAAGGAGGTCTCCATCCTGAGCCTATGTCACATCTCTTATGATACTCAAACCTGTGGTGTTTCTTTACAGTATTGTGTGTCTCCATTACTTAAGGCCTTTACTAGCATTCCAGTGCCAGGCCACTATCTCTCTATACCTCATTCCTTTGATGGTAAATAGCTTATACTGCACACAGTAGCTTCTTCCAACTACTGTGGATATAAATCTGTGATTGTACCATACAAAGATAAAGAAAGGCATAAAAATTAGTCATAGCCACCTGATCAGAAGAAAATTTGATGTTACAGCTAAACCAAATTTAAAAAACAAAGCAAAATAAAACAAAATACAAAACAAAATAAAACAAACAAACAAACAAACAAACAAAAAACAGGGAAAAAAAAAACCTCCAGGCAGCTCAAGATGCTTTCAAACAAAGGAAACCTGACAAGCCTCTGGCCCACAGGTCTTGCAAACTCAATAGTCTGTTGCTAGCAGTGACAACACTGTATTACTGGGCTACCAAGCTACAGATATAGCAAAGACTTACTGAATTGCGTTTTCATTCACCTAAAACATGATGCTAAAAATTAGTGAAGAGAAATAACTGACATTTCCTTAGCCCCATGATCCTTTGGCATGAATTGCTGGGAATGGAGGAGCTTGTTAGAGTATCTTCATGGTCTTTGGTAAACTGAAGTCTTGGAAAAAATTACTGCAGAGTAACTCATGAGAGTTAGAAATGTCTTCTACTTTTATAAGGAAGGTATATAAAGGTTCATTATTTTTCATTATTCATAAAATTCTTTTCATAAAATTATTATGTTTTATAATTATTATACGTTACTATAATATTATTTTGGTGAAAAAAAATCTGAAGTAGCATCCTAATCTTTATAAATGGATACAGATTGCTATTTATGCATTTACTTCTAAGATTGCTATTTCTCCTGTTAGTGAATAGCAAATATATAGTCTTTGGTTCTTAGCAAAAGAGAGAGTTTGTGATGATGATTTTGGGGATATCCAAACCATAACTGACACTATGGAAAAAGCAGCTGTAGAACAGAGATACAGTATACAACAAAATCTTTGGAGTTTTGAGGGAGGGTTGGATAAAAACACTGTTGCACATAGAACAGTTCTTTTCTAAAACCAGAGAGTACAGCGAACAAAGGTATTTCAGCTGTTTTCCCAGGTCTCCATAGTGGTGCTTCTATTAATGCTGCATAAGAAAAAGTGGAACAAATCAGAACATCTCCAGACTGGCTTTTCTAAGACCGTGGCCGTTTATATTGCAGTGCCCCCTGGTGCCTCTGGCATAACAGTACTCCAAAAGAGACTTTCCAAAAAGTAATTTTTAAATAACTTTTTTAAAAAAAAATAATAATTACATATTGCTTGTTCTTGTTTGTTTTTCGGAGCAGGGACCTTAATTCCTTTCTTTATTTATCTTGAATAGTATGGCAGCACTTCTTCATGACTTAAATAACTTGTATTTTTAATGCTACTTTTGGGGCTTGCATATATAAAGCTCATGTTTCCCTAGCAATACAGGTGGCATCCATATTTTTGGAGGAAATAAGAAAAACAATTTCACTAGTAGTTTCTGGTTTAGATAGAAACATCAGTATTGCAATAACTAGTTGCAGTATCAGCAATTATTTGTATTGAATTTTGTTTGTTTGCTGTAGTTATTTTTTAATTTTTGTTTCATTTTGTGTGGAGTGTTTTGTTTTGCTTTAATTGTGGAATGCTAGCAACTCAGCTTTTCCACTTACGTAGCACCTTGAACCATTTCCTTATTTTACTGATATATTTCTAGTATTAAAGAGCTGGTTTGATGTTTAGGCAATCAACCTTCAGTGAAGCCATAAGGTAGGCAGAGCTGCAGTGAAGACGGGCAGACAATGGAAAAAATTTCTATGTGTTTCCTGGTTCTGTTCTTCTGGTGAACAGTTCTCATTCAATATATCTGTCCAGCAGAGGACTTAGTTCACAAACAACTAATACAAAGTAATGAACAGGCAGATAAAGAAAAAAGTAACAGAAAATTGAGAAAAAAACCACGTCCTTCCATTTTTCATTGTTAATCATTGAGTCCTGTAGATCTAAAGACATGATTCTCCAGCCTTTTCAACTCATAAAATAGGAACTTTCTGTTCAGGCCATTCATGATGAGTAGAATTATAATATACTGAATTTTAACAAATATACTGATTTTTAAATTTTTTTTTAATTTTTTTTTTTTTTATCTGTTGACTTTGTATTCTTCTAAAGAGATTCCATATATTTAAGAAATTATTTTAGGTAATATCCTAGTAAAAGGTAGGTGAAAATGTCAAGATTGCAGTTATCTGATTAATTCAGTATTGCCCATATTTAAATTGTGTTGAGATAGTATATCAAAGATAATTAAGTGGTGAGAACTGTTGAATTCTGAAAAGAGGATAGTTTGGCTTTTAGAATGTGGCACATAAAATATCAGTTGAAAATAAGTGAGATAGTGTAGCCAACCAGTTAAAGACATACAGTAGCAACTTCTGGAATTGATGTTGGCTGGTAGAGTTTGAATCCCTAACGCAGTTACGATTTAGAATTATGTATCTAAGTAGCAAAATAACCTCTTTGCCATTGATTTCCATGACATCCAGCTACTCCGTACCACAAAACTATTATATTTTCTCTTATTTTATATTCAGTAAGATCATAGAGTCAACTTTGAAAGGTTCAAGTAGAAAGAAAATTAAGTTCCTGTTCAGATGTGTGTTAAGAAACAACATTTAACAGTTAAGCTGTGGTTTTGTTCTGGTTGCATTTCTTTGGTGTGAGCAAGGGTGAAAGGGTCCTGTTTTGAAGTCAATGTTGAAGTATTGCCTTCCTTGATAGCTGAAGCTTAAATAGGGCAGATACACTTTCCTTAATTGTGAATGGAGAATGCTTCAGTAGAGGTAGATTACGGAAATGAATAAATCCTTAATAAGAGTAGTACTTTACAAGTAATATATTGGTGGTGATTGTTTTAACCAAGCTCTTTACCATCCAAAAAAAAAAAAAAAAAAAAGAGTACTTCTTTTTGGTGCAGCTTCTATATATTAGTATTTCCTACTTTGTGCTTAATTATGAAAGTAATTTAGTGTATTTTCTTCAAAACCTTTTAAAAGTAATTACATAGTCCAGTAAGCACAGTGAAGAGGAATAAAAAAATGGAGATGGACTTTAAATCGCATAGTGTTGATGAGCTATCTGTAGTTCATGGGTTATTATTAAATTTCATTCTGATTAGAAGCTTGAGTTGAAATGGAATAGTACTATAAAGTTTCAAATTAATACTTGTAGCAGTGAAGTGCTATTTCCCAGGACTAAACTATTGGAATATGTGAAGAGTCCACAATTTACCTTTAAGCATCAATTTGAATCAAGTGTTATACATTTAAACAAAATAATGAAAACAACCCCCCAAAAACAGAACCATAAATGTGCTGTCACATAAAGTTCAAAGGACTCAACTTCTTGTTTAAACATGTGTTGATAAATAAATTAGCACAGGTCACTGCAGAACAGTAGATGTGAGCTATGCATCTTAGTATTTGAGTTATCCAATTACAGCATGTAATAAACTACCCCTTGAATTACTGTATTTGTAATCTAATTTCCCTACTTTTGATAGAAGCTGAGAATTATTTGCATTTTTGTCAATGTCACCATGACTGGACATGCTGAACAAGTTATTCCATTTTATGTTTTTTGTAGAAACTGTTACTGACTGAAGGATTCTATTTACAGCTTTATGTAACACATACCCATAATCATAATAATAACTAAAAAATATTATCAGATGAGTTGCTATTGCAAATTGTAATATACTTGCATTCCAGTTTCCATTATCTGCATAGTATAAAGAACAATTCTTTTTTTACTTCTTGTCATCAAAACCCACAAAATATTATAGGAACATTACAGTTTCTGAAGCATGAGCCAGTGTTTTTGACTAGGCCCTGCGTGTTCTAACGAAATATTTTACATTATAATTTATGATTTCATCCAGTATTCTGTAGAGGGGAATCTAGTTCAGCAAAGGTCCAGCAGTTTCTATTACCCATTTCAGCTCTGCAATGATGTAACCAGCTTGCTACAAGATTGCTTAACTGGTTCCTCCTTGGTTCAGAGCTAGGAAGCCACAAGAAGCTTGGTTTCCAAACTCATGGTGCCTCAGCTGTTCCAGGCTCAAAGCAACATACCAGAGAAATCATACAAGATGAGGTTTCGATTCACTTTCATGGAGGAACTCAGTTTGGGAGGAGAGTAATTTTAATGAGAATGAGGCAAATTTTTATTTCATATCAAAATGCTCTGTGAAATTAATTTACTTTCTACAGAAGGAGTATCACAATTTGTCAAGCCTGTGTTACATGAAGGAGTTTGCTATCAAACTTAGAAAAAACATATCAACTGATATCTCCTCATAACAATATTACTGTGTTTGCTACTTTTCAACAGGTGGGAAATGTTGTTCAGTTTCAGTGTAAAAAAGGTCACCTTCTCCATGGCTCAACAACACGAACCTGTCTTCCTGATCTTACGTGGAGTGGAATCCAGCCGGAATGCATACGTAAGTAAAAGACAGATTTTTGATCTAACAATTTTTTAGCTAGGCTGCTTAGTTAAGTAGCATTGTTATAAAGTTAATGTATATAGTTTTGTTAACTTAATACAAATTTGCGTTACTAGCTTACAACAGTTAGAAATGTGATTTTGTGATTTTTTTTTTTTACAGTAGCCTATAGATTTAAAAAAAAAAAAAAACAAAAAAAAAAAACAACTCGATGCAAAATAATGAGATAATTAGATAACAGGCAGCTAAAAACTGTAAGTTTCTAAGAAGTTGCAACTCTTCTAATGAAGAGAAGACGTAGTGAGAACATGACATGTGGGAAAGCCGTGCAGAGCCCTAGCTTGTACTGGAACAGATAGTTACTATCAATTCTAGTAAAGAGTTTGAGCTGTTTCTCAACTAAGGAGTCAGAGTATTTTAAGAAGGTGGAAATAAAGGATTTGTAATAGGAAATTTTTGAATCTGAAAAGGAGAGAATCTTCTGCTTGGGTACAGGAAGCAGCATTTCATTTCTTACATCTTTTACACTTTGACTACCTGTCAGATCGGATATAGATTATTTTTTCAGAAGTGTTTTCACCATTGTGACTGAAGGATATTTTATCTTCTCTTTGCAGCTCACAGCTGTAAACAACCAGAAACACCAACTCATGCTAATGTGGCCGGAATGGACCTTCCCTCACTTGGTTATACATTGATTTACACTTGTCAGCCAGGCTTCTTTCTGGCAGGAGGATCAGAGCATAGAGCCTGTAGGTCTGATGGCACATGGACTGGGAAAGTTCCAGTTTGTGAAGGTATGATCTTCTGTTTTGCAGGGCATATCTCATCTATCATATTTCCATGATTATCCTCACTTGCACTCTAATAAGATAAGGCAGAATGGTAATGAGAACTAGGAGGGAGAACATCTAAAATGATAACTTTAATCCTTTGCCAGCTTTGTTAAATGGGACATATGTTTTCATGTACTTGTCTTTCATTTGCATGCTCAAATGTGTCAACTCCAGATATAATTCTGGAGGCCAAATACTTAGATAACACATGCTTTTAGACTTCTTCTTTAGTCAGTTGTGGTCTACATTCTCATAAACTCAGTGGAACAATAATCTCAATGTTTTTGCACATACCAACTAAACTTAGGTCAGGATAATTTTATTGACAGGGATTGTGTCAGCTGAAAGGCAGCTACGACAGTTGCAATACTACTATGATATTGTTGCCAACATGGGAACACTCACACAGATGGAGTGCTGGAATGCATGGCTGTAACAATTCAGAAGAGATAGGCAAGGAAGGAGAGGTGGTAGGGTAGCCCTGTATGCTACAGAGTGTCTTGACTGTCTAGAGACTGGTGATAGTGATGACAGGGCGCAGTGTTTATGGGTAAGAATCAGGAGCAAGGCCAACAAGACAGGCATCGTGGTGGGAATCTGTTATAGACCTTCCAGTCAGGATGACGAGATGCAATATTCTGTAAGCCCCTGGGAAAAGTCTCACTGTCACTAGCCCTTGTTCTCATGGGGGACTTCAATTTACCAGATGTCTGCTGGAAATACAATACAGCAGAAACAGTCCAAGGGGTTCCTGGACTGTGTGGAAGATAACTTCCTAACACAGAAGTTGTGAGACAACTAGGAAAGGTGTCCTGCTGGGGATTTTTTGTGAACAGAGAAGGACTTGTGGGTGATGTGATTGTTGGAGGTCATCTGGGCATAGCGATCATGAAATTATAAGCTTTTCGATTCCTGGAGAGGTAAGGAGTGAGATCACCAGAAATGCCACCTTGGACTTCCAGAGGGCAGACTTTGGTGTGTTTAGGGACCTGGTTGACAGAGTCTCGTGAGAGGCAGTCCCGAAGGGCAAAGGAGTCTAGGGAGGGTGGACATTCCTCAAGAAGGAAATCTTAAAGGTGCAGGAGTAATCCATCCCATGTGCTGAAATATGAGCCAGTGGGGAAGGAGACTGGCCTAGATGAACAGAGAGTTTTGGCTGGAACTCAGGGAGAAAAAGAGAGTTTACTATCCTTTGAAGGACAGGCAGGAAAGTCAGGAAAACTACAAAGATGCCATGAAGCTATGCAGGGAGAAAATTAGAAATCTCAAAGTCCAGCTAGAACTTAATCTGTCTACTGCCATAAAAGGCAATAAAAATCATTTCCATCAATGCATTAGCAACAAGAGGAGAGCTAAGGAAAATCTCCATCCTTTATTGGAAGCCAAGGGGAAATGTAGTGACAAAAGATGTGGAAAAGGCTGAGGGTCTTAACACATTCTTTGTCTCAGTCTTCAACAGTAAGACCAGTTGTTTTAGGGGTATCCTCTGAGCTGTTAGATGGTGCCAGAGAGCAGAATGAAGGGGATCCAAGGGAAAATGAATCCAAGGGAAATCCAAGGGAATCCAAGGGAAAATGGTTAATGACCTGCTGCTCCACTAAGGCCCATGCAAGACTACTGGGCCAGATATGATCCACCCGAGGGTACTGAAGAACCTGGTGAAAGTACTGACCATAATTTATCAGCAGTCCTGGCTAACTGGGGAGGTTGCAGTGGACTGGAGCAAATACGACGTCTGTCTACAAGAAGGGCTGTAAGGAGGATCCAGGGAACTGCAGGCCTGTCAGACTGACCTTGGTGACAGGGAATGTTATGGAGCAGATCATCTTCAGTGCTATCATGAGATATATACAGGACAAACAGATGATCAGGCCCTGTCAGCATGAGTTTATGAAAAGCAGGTTGTGCTTGATTAACTTGACCTCCTTCTATGGCAAGATATCCCAATTAGTGAATGAGAGAAAGACTGTAGATTTTTTTTTTTTTTTTTTTATCTAGACTCTAGGAAAGCCTTTGACATTTCCCACAGAACCCTCCTGAAGAAACTGGCTGTTCATGGTTTGAACAGGTGTACTCTTCGTCGGTTAAAAAGTTGCCTGGATGGCTGGGCCAAGAGTGGTGGTAAATGGAGTTAAGTCCAGCTGGCAGTCAGTCACAAGTGGTGTTCCACAGGGCTCAGTACTGGGGCCTGTTCTCTTTTATAGCTGTATCAATGATCTGGATGAGGGGTTTGAGGCCACCCTCAGTAAGTTTGCACATGACACCAAACTGACTCCTATAGTTGGCACTGGTGAGGCTGGACATCGGATACTGTGTTCAGTTTGGGGCCCATAACTACAAGAAGGACCTTGAGGTGCTGGAGCATATCGAAAGAAGGGTAACGAAGCTGTTGAAGTGTCTAGAGCATGAGTCTTAAGAGTAGTGGCTGGGGGAACTTGTGATTTTTACTCTGGAGAAAAGGATCTTCAGGGGAGACCTTATCACTCTCTAAACTACCTGAAAGGAGACTGTAGCGAGGTGGGGAGTCAGTGTCTTCTCACAGCTAACAAGGGTTGGACAAGAGGAAATGGCCTCAAGTTGTGGAAGGGGAGGTTTAGATTGGATGTAACAAAAAAACTTTTCAGCAAAAGGGTTGTCAAGCACTGGAACAGGCTGCCCAGGGAAGTAGTGGTGACACCATCCCTGGAGGTGTTTAAAAGATGTGTAGATGTGGCACTTAGGGATAGCCTTCAGTGATGCACTTGGCAGTGTTAGATTTACAGTTGGACTTGGTGATCTTAAAGGTCTTTTCCAATCTAAATGATTCTATGAATCTATACTAATATTGAAGAAGGTTGCCTAAAGTCCAAGTAGATATCTGAATCACAGTATGGAACTAATCCATACAATGTAATTTTATTTCATATTTTTACATAAGCAACATTATACTGCTTTCAAACAAAATTTGTCTACTTTGTCATTTGTGTTCTATTTTTTTATATTTTATCTAATTTTTACTACATACTTTGTCATGTCATGGCATAAAGAATTTCACAGCAAAATCATGGTGAGAATGGTATTTTTCACATGAGATAAGAAATATCTTCAAGTATAGCAACTGTTTGGAATTCTATTTCCTGAATAATTAAAGCATCTTACAGATTACCTATAGCTAAAGTTTCAGATGTGGTTATCCCCAGAACTTTTGTGAGGGCAAACATAGGCTATCTAGTCAAACACTGCTACTTGGAAAGGAAATAGGAATTTAATATTTTGCATTAAAAAAAAAAAAAAAAAAAAAAAATGGAGTAGAGCTTTGGTAAAGTTTCACAAAGCAGGTTGCCAGGGACTTTGCAACTTATTCAGTATTTAGCAAGTGTTATGACAGGCCAAATGTGATTCATGGGTTGCACTTTTATCCATGATATTGAAAATATCATGGATAAAATATCCACTAATATCCATGGTATTAGTTGTCCTATCTGATAGTAAGGTACTTTTCTGACAATGTTTTTAAAAAGCACTGAATGGTAACTATGAATATGATGTATATTGAATGAAATGACATCTGGAGGGACCTGGATAAGCTTAAGAAGTGGGCGTGCATGGACCTTATGAGGTTCAACAAGGCCGAGTGGAAAGACCTGCACCTGAGTCAGGGCAATCCTTGGTATCGATACAGGCTGAGGGATGACGAGGTTGAGAGCAGTCCCGCAGAGAAGGGCTTTGGTGGGTACTGGTGGATGAAAAGATGGTCAACACGCACTCATAGCCCAGAAGGCTAACCGTATTCTGGGCTGCATCAAAATAAGCATAGCTAGGAGGTTGAAGGAGGGGATTCTGCTGATCTGCTCTGCTCTGGTGAGACCTCACCTGGAGTACTGTGTCCAGCTCTGAAGTCCTCAGCATTAGAAGGAAATGAACTTGTTGGAGTAGGTCCAGAAGAAGGCCACAAAAAAATGATCAGAGGGCAGGAACACCTGTCCTACAAGGACAGGCTGAGATGGTTGAGATTGTTCAGCCTGGAAAAGAGAAGGCTCAAGGGAGACCTTATTGTGGCCTTTCAGTACTTACAGAGTACTAAAAGAAAGATGGTGAGGATCTTCTAAGTATGGCCTGTTATGACAGGACAAGGGTTATAAAGTAAAAGATGGTATATTTAGACTATATATAAGGAAGAAATATTTTACAGTGAGGGTGGTGAAACACTGAAACAGGTTGCCCAGAGAGGTGGTAGATGCCTCATTGCTGGTAGATTCAAGGTTAGGTTGGACAGGACTCTTTGCAACCTGATCTAGTTAAAGATGTCCCTGCTCACTGCAAGGGTGTTGGACTAGATGACCTTTAAAGGTTCCTTCTAACCCAAATCATTCTGTTATTCTGTGATTTTATGAATACCATGTTGGACAGTTTAGGGTCACGTGTCCTGTCTGCTTCTCCCTTCGGGTGCAGCCTTTTTTTTTACTGCACCCCCAATATGCTACATAGGATTTAGTAATGACCTTGGTCTCCATAGGAGCAAGTATAAGCAAGAGCCTTTACTGCACACCAATCCTTCATTGTAAATATGAGCTTCAAACCTTATCACTTCTAGAAACAGACACTGCCTGAAAATATATGCTGTTAACTTCAGAAAGTGCAGCTACTTAGAAGACACTTAGATGAAAAGTAAAAACACTGAATACAATTAGTTCTGTTGTAACTGAAGCAGGATAGTTTGTATTTAGAATTTGTATTTAGCATTTCAGTTTTGAACTTGAATAGAAAGGTATTCACCTTGACAAAGCTGATCGATTTAGCAGCTTTTTATACCAAATCCCTTTGGAAAATGTGATCCAGATATTTCTAACCTAAGCTTGATGTAGTCAAAGAGCAAATACTGTTGAAGCATACACGCTAGGTCAACCATGTTCAGTGAAGTTCCGTAAGTTTCTTTCAAAACAAAAAGAAAATAGAGATTAATCAATCAGTTGTAACAGGACATGAGAACATGATGCTGAATTCCAGCTCCTGCCCTTGTTTTCTGGCAGTTTTAATCTGCGTACTAAGAGCAAGCCTTCTGTAAATAAGCTAAAAGTGATTTGCAACAAGAATATTATCAGTGCTTCTTGCTAAAGTTTCCTTTTCATGCATAAAATGCTCCACTCAGGGAGAAGGAAGTTGCTTTTATTGTCTCTTTTACTTTGGAATATCAATCAGAGAGAAAAGGCCTGGGTTCAAAGCCAATATCCAAAATACAAAATATTGAAATAACCACTGGAGCAAGGAATGGAACATAGTGCTGCATTAGAGTTTTCTACATTAGGAGACAGAATTATATGTCTTCTTTATAGTCCAGTGAATCCAAATAATTTACTGCAAAATAGCTTCAGCTGCAGGAAACTACACTGTCCATTGCATTTTGTTCATAATTTTCAGTGGTAGGAGAGTTCCTGCTCTAAGCAGAGAAGAAACAAAATTCTCTGACTTCCACTGCTCAAATCACCTGAGCAATTGGAGGTGTTGTGGACAGCCTCAACTGTTTCTTTATGTTGCAGTTCTTTAAAGAGATATTGACATTTTTGTCCATTGTTAAGAGATTAAGTTTGCATCTTTGGGTTTTTAGTCTTGACTACAAGATAACTCACTCAATATTGGTGTAGATAATTAAGTTCTGGAGAGAAACATGCTTTAAAACACCCTTGTTACATATCTTTTCACTGTTTGGTGTTACATTGCTTTCAGTAAAAGCACTATTAACATTGCTGTTTTGTGTGGATCCTGATTTAAATGACAGAACTTGCCTTAGGCATATTGAAAGGCATCTCACCAATTAGGCACATAGTCCAGGATGGTGAATTCTGAAATGTAGATTCTGAAGCCTACATTGTTTAGTATTGCAAATTACTTGGTAGCATCCAAGAGGTGCTCTTGGTAGCATTGAAGAGAAAATGTGACAACAGAGGAAATCAGTGGGTATGTGTTCCTGTGCTCCACAAGCTCCTAAGGCTTGATATTGAATGAAATCTCATTTGTATTTGAGTTTGAAACATCATCTTTTACATCTTTTGTAAAAAATATTCCAGATGCCACTGTAGAAATTATTTTTGTTGTTTCTGAGTAACATATTTGCTACTGATTTGTTTCTATGTTATTCATTCTCTCTAACAGCTGGTTCCAAAATATTAGTGAAGGATCCCAGACCAGCTTTGGGAACACCAAGTCCCAAACTAAGTGGTAAGTATTTGAGGTGTATATATATTGTGTAATTGTTTATATACATATGTATAAACAATTCTGTAGAAAATACAATGAGAGTCAGTTTAGTGAGACTGCTTTGAATGGCTTAGAATGAATAAAGTTTATTAGATTAGGCATTATATTAACAGAACAGAACCATTATTAATTAAATTGTTTCCTGATGTTTAAGTCTAGCTAGGCTATATGTTATAATTTATATCATTATACGTATTCTAACTGTTATGTGATGAGAGTTTTATTGGTTACACTCAAATCACTGTGTTCTGTGCAAGGTCTTATACAATTTACTCATTTGGAAACTATTACTCATCCAGAAATAATTTTAAGACATGTTGTTTCACAGCTCGTTTCACAGTCTTGCACTTCTTTTACATACTGCTAATTTAAATTGCTTTACCTAAATACTTCTGTATTGGCCTTCAACTCAGCCTTCAAAAAAGATATTTTTAACGTAGAGAAAGTCTCTCTAACTCTGGCTAAAGTCAATGGGTTCAGCAAGATTGTCTTTGATTGTCCTGACTAGATCCAAGAGAATCCTTTCTCTGTCCACTGAAGAGACTTTTTGAAGAGAGAAGTTCCCACTAAAATAATCCTAAGACTATAACACTATTAAGTGGCTACCAATAATGAAAAAGATTTAAAAAGAATTCTTTAGCGCAGGGGTTTTGTAGACTTTTTTTTTTTTTTTTTTAATTTTATTTGAATAGGTTGTACACTACTTCAAAACTTCACCACTTTAATAATTTACTTCATGGGAGTCATATTATCAGCCTTTTCATTCAGAAGCTTTTTGTACAATCCCAATTAATTGCAGGTATGTACATAAAGGTCAGTTTTTCTGAAAGCAGGGAAATGAATTTCAGGCAGATCACAAACCAGCAGATCCATGATGCATTTTCACCATGCAGTTTGCTTGCCTGAAGTGTTGAGGCCCAGCATCTAGGTGTTTTGTTTTTATGTGTTTACTTGTCAAAAAAGATATGCATATATGCATAGACACACACAAATAAAAAAAGTTCTTTTAACTCTAAAATAAAGAAAGTTCTTTTAACCTCCATGAGAAAGACAACCTGTCTCTGTGACCCATAAAATAAATGATGAAGGAAGACTGTCGGGTATTGCAGTGTGCCCCCATCTTGAATCTGGGGATATCTTGAGACAGAAAGAGGCAAATATTCTGTGTTTATCTGATATGAGTTGCCAATGCGCACACACACACGTTAAGTTCAGTGTGAATGACTCCAAATAATGTGGAAGTGCTCATTCTAAATAGTGATTATTTGTTACAGAACTAAGTTTGACACCTTTCCTTTGGTGTCCCATCTTAAGCCACCTTCAGTTTAGTTGCTTAAATGATGTCTCATGTTAGGATTGTACAGATTTGCAGATTTTTTTTTAACCATACTGTTGTTGGAATAGCATCACTTAATCATTTTACAGTTGGATAATTATAAATATTAAATGTAAAGCTATAAATCTGTTATATTTATTCTCCCTGCAGTCTATGATCTCTTTTTAATTATAAATCAGGGTATTTTCAAGCCTTTGAAGACAAGACAAAATTTCTTATATAATTTTTTCATTAGAAAAAGTGACTAGGTAATAAAGAAGATACTTATAATCTTTTAATGTCATTTAAATATGCATATAAAAATTTGATATCTAAATAGATGTTCGTTTCTGCAAAATTTAATCCAGATGAGTGTCCCTGCCTATCTGTTCTGGCATAAAAAAAGATTCTACAGTGAGAAGAATCTGGTCTTTTGGTTACAGCCATTAAATTAGATTTTGTGAAATTGGTTTAATTTTAGGGCATGTCCATCTTTGATGAAAGGAGGAAATAAAGGTAGATTTGTGGTTGTGTTCTTTAGTTCAAATACATTTTTTTCTTAGATATTCGTGCCAGGTTTCTATGTTCTGTATATGAGGATTATGTCTAATAGCCTTCCAAATAGAGAATATAAAATAGAGAAAATGTTAATATTTATCATATATTTTGTTGGATGCTTGACTTCATAAGTATTAAATGTTGCAAAATGTATTGAAATATGTTTGATGTCTGTATAGTTCCTGATGATGTATTTGCCCAAAATTATATATGGAAAGGATCTTACAATTACAAAAGCAAGAAACAGCCCATGACTTTGACAGTCACCAGTTTCAATGCCACTTCAGGAAGAGTAAATGCAACACTTACAAACAGCAATATGGAATTGCTGCTATCAGGTATGGAATAAGAAAAATTCGTTTCCATTTAACTTTTTTTCTGCCTTATATACATTGTTCTCTTGTAACTTGCACAACACTTTAAACTTTCAACATCTTCTGGAAAATTTCTTAGCTTATCAAAGAAATTTTCTTTCTAGTTCAGTAACTTTTCAAGGTAGGGATATTTCCAACTTTTCCTTCTCTCCTCTTTTTTAATTTCCCAGATGTTTATTGTATTTGTAGTTAATAGTGAGGAATGAATAATTATCTTAATTCTTGTATTTCTTCTTTAAATATTAGCAAAAACCTGAAATTGATATTCCTATTTTCTTAATTCTTAATTGTACAGTTTCCCTAC